TCCCAGGCGTAAGATTATATTTGAACGGCCCCTTACTCTCTTGTAACACCTCCAATCTTTGGCACTTGTTTGTTTGTTGGTTTGTTTTGTTGTTTTTTTGTTGTTGTTTTTTACCCTTAGTAAATGTTTATCGGCGCTCGTGGCCACTGATAAGGTCATATGAGCGTGCGGGGCACATTCTTCCAGAGGATAAAGTATTTTGATTTTTTTTCCTAAAAGAAGTAAAGAAAATGACGACATCAAGGAAGGGGAAAGAGGAAGCAGCAGTCCCCCCTGTGTTGTTCTGGCACAGTATGAGCATGGCATTGATAAATCAGCCCATTTACAATTCTACTGTGTATAACAATATGTTAATATCCACCCCCAACCTCCTTCGGTCTTACTAACAACGCACTTTTGTCACTTTCAGATACTTTCTTCCCGGACCAACCACTTGCGAGCCGCCAACCATAGGGAAACGCGTAGATACCTCCCCTAATCGACCCCGCGGAAACAGGAGATCGAGTCAGGAAATCAGACGCTCTCTCCAAAAACGTTTTGCCCACACCATGGATGCTCTTCGCCCTCAAAGTGACACCCTGGCTACCAATTCCACTACGGTTTCTGAAGCTACTTCTTCAGCTACGTCCGCTACTACTACTACAGCCACGTTGGCTCTTTTTGGACAAGAGCCCCCAGTGTCTTCTTCTCTTGCACAAGCCCTGCCCTCATTGGCTCCTTCTGGACAACCCTACCCCCCACTGTCTTCTTCTCTTGCCCGAGCCCTGCCCCCATTGTCTCTTTCAAGACAGGCCCAGCTTCCATTGGCTCCTTCTGGACAGGCTCAGCAACCACTGGCTCCTGGGCAAGCCCTGCTCCCACTGCTTCTGCCCCGATTACCTCCTCCTGGGCAAGAAGTCCTGCGACACAAGAAATGAGTCTGCCTGAACACAGTTTAATGCAGCCACCGTGCCTGATGGGACAGGTTCCTCTGCTGCCGTGTATGTCTTCACCGAACCCCCATCCATCCAGGGAATATTCCCAACCACAGACGTCAGAACCAGAACACGCAGCCTCTGGAGCAGCTCCAGTTCTGACAAGCCCGCTACTGAGGAGGTCAGCGACGACAGAACGGAATGGCTGCTAGAACACAAGGACAAAATAGCCTGACGATTGCTGTAAATCCAGGTTGCAGGAACGTCACAACGTTCCTTAACTCCTACCGGGTTCTGGGAAGCAATGTCATAAGGAAACTGAAAGCATAGACCTGTTCAGTCTTTCTTGACTTGATGACATTCTAGACCTGGCCTTTTAAAAAAGTCTTCCATGAGTTGACGGCGTTCTAGACCTGGTGTTGTGTAAATATGTAAAGTCTTTTCCAGAATCTGTTAATCTTTTTAATCTTTTCATGACTTGATCATATTTGAGTCTTGGTATTTGTATTGGCGTTGTGTGTTAAATATTAAAGTTTTGCTTGCAGGGCACAAAAAAATCGTTCTGACTTCGTATTACTGTTGCACTATTTGTCTTTGTTTGAGAGTTAGTTAGTCTCTCTTTCTTTCTTTCTCTCTCCTCTTGCTTACTTAAATACCTTCTCAGGCTCGTTCTTTCGTTTTCACTTTCAATTACTTTTATTCACACCAACCCTCTCTCTCTCTTGCTTTCTCTTGCTCACTTTTCACTCTCTCTCTCTCTCTCTCTCTCTATCTCTCTCTCTCTCTCTCTCTCTCTCTCTCTCTCTCTCTCTCTCTCCGTGTACAGGGCAACGTTACCCGTAAGACTGTTTAGGCTGTAGCCCAGCGCAATTGCAAACACGACGTTTTTAAAAAATGTTTTTCAACAACAACAAATTGTCCTCTTGTTGAATTGTTGTTGTTGTTTGTATTGCTGTTGTTTTTACTGTTGTTGTTATGTTGATGAGAAGGATGTTGATGCTACCGCTGTTGCTGTTGTTGTGGCTGCTGCTGATAGGTTTCTGCTGCATCATACTTTGTAACAGAAATAAATTTATAAATGTGCTTGTCGTCGTCTTAATCCACATTATTGGTGGATACCGGTAGGCCTACGTCTAATCACGTTTTACAGTATAGCTTTCCATCAGTACGGGGTTACAATGCGGTAGTAGCAGCATCAACGTCATCGATGTTGCCGGCTCCGCGGCACATGGACAGCCTAGGGCCCCGCACTTAGTTAACGCGGCCCTGCTCATGTGTGTGCGTGTGTTTGTGTTTGGGTGTGTGTGTTCCTCCTCTT